CTTCTCCTCACCAGTCCCAGTAGACAACGGATTTCATAGATGGCTCCTATGCAGCCGAAGAAACCCATGGCCATTGATAGAGCGCCCACTCCAATGAAGATATATGATGCCGCCCTCACTGTGTCAGAGGATTCTTCTGCAGAAGACAGAAAAAAAAGGCAGGAAGGGATGAAAATACAGAGAAGATTAAATAAAAAGCAAAAGAGACACTGTGTTACAGTAAATGGCAGTTTTCTTAAGTGAGTTAATCCTTAATTAGATCCAAGAGTGTTTTGATCTAGTTACTCTGAGCCTAAAATTCATCACAGACTAAACGCTTTCTGCTCAAATCAAAGTTTCTTTCATGACTGATTATTTTAGAAAGACTTGGCCACCAGGGGGAGATGGACTGGGACAAGTCAGGCCGCCTCTTGATTAATTGATTTCACTCTTTGGTATGTGGAGTGGGTGAGATTGAGGACGAGGAGGAAGAAGGGGAGGAGGGAGCTGAGACTAAAAAAAGAGAGCTGGAGGCCTAGAGAGGAGATGAACGGGAGCCATTATGTGGCTCTGTGCTATCTTTGCTATAGGAGCCCCAGAGACGGAGAGCTCTGTCTGCAGATGGAGCCAAAATCTGAGCTTTTAAGAAAAGATTCCAAGTTATAAAGACACCAGGCCAAAGCTAATGGCATGGATTCATCTGAGCCATGAGATGAAGAAGAAAACTGTCAGAGATACTCTTCTAACAGTTATTTAATTTATAGATGAAGCAATGAAATGGTCGATTTCCAGCTTTATTACGATCTGACCTGCTGATTTACAAACTGAGAGAGACTTGGGTAATTTTTAACACTGGCTGACTGATTGATTGGGGCATTAATAACATCTTGGAATATAAAGTAAAAATCAAGATCCTGAAAGATACACATAGAAAGTTCCTGTGCAAATGCAGCTCTGAGAGACTCTACACTGAAAAAAAATGAAATCTAAATAAGTAATTTTTTCTTTAAATAAGTACATTTTTTCTTGAATTAAGGATTTAAGTGAGGCCCTTTGCCAATGGAACAAGACAATGTACACTTAAAATAAGAAAAAACAATTGCATTGTCTTATTTCAAGTGCATAATATCTAGATACCTTATTTTAAGAGTAAAAATACTCATTCCATTGGCAAATCATCTTTTTTACATGCTCAAATTAAGGGTACATACCCATAATTTAAGACATTATTACTCATTTTGAGATTGTTTTTGCAGTGTACTACTTCTAAATGCACATGAACAGAAATAAGAACAAATTTCCTAAATTAAGTGTATTTACCCTTAATTTGAGTTGGTAAATGAGATAGTTTGCCAATGGAATAAACATTTTTACTCTTAAAATAAGATAATTAGATAAAATGCACTTGAAATAAGACAATGCTACGGTGTTTTCTTATTTTAAGTGTAAAGTGTCTCTTTTACCTCCTCAATCCAAGAACAAATGCACTTATTTTAAGAAAAAATTACTTACCTAGATTTGTTTTTTTTTTCCCCAGTGAAGTGTAAATACCTGTCCTAAAACCTTTTTATAAATTACATAACATAGGTAAAAATAATCTTCTCAGTCGTTTCCATTATCTTGCTTAGTCGGTATTACAGAATGCATGCTGTATCATCATCGGAAATGCAAATAGGCAGTCTGTCATGCTCTACAATATTCCTACCCTTCTCCATCCATATGGAATATAGGAAAATGCCTAAAGAACCCGACACTAATGTAAAACATGTGTGCAAACTCACTGTGCAAACCTCTGCAAAGATTATACATGTAAAACATTGAGGAAAAAAAGAACCTTTAAAACATTTAATAAGATGTTGCATTCAGCACCAAAGAAGTGCAGACTTTATACGGGTTACAACAGCAGCTCTCGCTGTGGTGGTTTGCGATGTAATTTAAGGCTGAACATGCTTGGGTGAGCATATGCTTAGAGTTTATGTGGCTACAGGGTAGCATTCAAAAGAAGGAGAGACAAGCTCTCAGAATGTTGTATGTGAAACATGTTATTTAAGGCCTCCAACGCACACAGCTTCACAAACACAACCTGTATCTGAAAAAGCAACAGATGTTCTTAGGTTTCTCTAACTCTATAATTACATGAGGGACTCGGGGCTGAAAGAAATACTTCAAGGGGGAGATGTAAAAAGAGAATATTAATGAGACAATCAAGTGAGATTAACGAAGACGACACGAGACACGTCTGTAGTTTCATGTAAACAAGATCTAGATTAATTCTTCATGACTGAACCAAGAGTCACTGAGATGTAATAAATGGGTCCTTATATTTTACTTATTGAGTTAAAAACTATTTAAAGCTACAGTGTGTAATTTTCAGCGACATCTA